ATAAACAGTCTGGCAGGCAGCCTGCAACATTCTGAGCATTGCCTACGGCTTACAGATTGCCAATGCTGCAGTCCTTATGACGAACATGTTTGGTCCGATGCCTAGCGCTTAGAGCAAAAATCAAAAATACATCTTTTGCTTGGATTGCCATTTATCATATTTGCAACAAAGTTATGGAGGTATAAATGGCATCAATAACCAAGACTATTGGCATTAATCATATACACAAGCGGAATATCATGTGATCCAATGGGATGCTCAAGACCTTTGTCTTGTGGCTTTGGGTCATCTAAGAGCGAGGAGACCACATCTTCATTACCCCCAGGTCATCAAAGGTCGCAATGGAAAATCCACTATAATTAAATGGAGGTGTTAATGGAAAACACATATATCTGGATGACACCAAGAGTTGTTTGATTATATCTGGATGAATTTGATCATGACCTCACTGTGACCTCACTGGAATGATGGGAAGTGGATTTGGGATGATTTGGGGAATTGTCCCAATCTTATTTTGCCATGGGAATAGCTCAAACTCATTCTGTGGGACCATGGGACCATAGGCCTTGCATGTCAAGTGCTGTTTCTCGCTGGAGAGCGTCATGCGTCTGCCTGGCACACTTTTTTCGTTGTGTTGAGCTGGGTCAAACTGGAAGTAGCAATTCAAACTTGGCGATTTTTCATGAAACAATCCATGTGGGTTCATCATTTTGACCCATAGATTACCTTAGATACTCTGTTTTGATCTGCATTCACTGCTTTAAAAACCACTTCTGGGGGACGCATCTGGAGTTGTCACCAGAGCACTTTAGAGCACTTTGGGCCAGGTCTCTTGAGAGTAAATGGCCGTCTTTTGCTTTGTTTCTCTCGGTGATATTGAATGTTGGGATCTTTGTCGCAAGCCAATACGTCATGAGCCCAGTTGCCATGCGCTGCTGCGCCGACATAGCACTTGCACGAACACGAAAGATGTGGGTCGGGATCGACATTTCGGGTCTAGAGGGGCCAACGATTGGGTATTTTTCAAAGCTTCGTAAACCATGTCATACCATTTTGGTTGCTGGTTCAAAATTCTTAAATCAGGTTTTTGCTGACAACTTCAGTAGCATGCCATTTTTGACCGAGTCCCTCAAGAAGCCTGGCCCAAGACGAATCTAAGGTGCCCATCAATCTTCTTGGACAATCCATTACAGTCCATAGGCTCAGTGATAACACAAGCAGACAGTCTTCTCGTTGGTGATAGGCAGAAAAAGGCCGCTAAACGCACCAGCATTTTGGCCGGAAGCATAGAAGAATATACTGTAGGTATTGTTATGTGTATTTTTTTTCCCATTTTTTGGCTCGTTTGTTTGTCTATTCATCTATTTGTTTATCATATTTTGGAGGAGCGCAGTCCACTTCTAAGCTCCGGTGGATCTTGGTGCCCAGGTCTTCAACATCTTTCTGTACTCATCGCCATTGATGAACCTCGGCACTGCCCTGCGTACGCGCAACAGTAGCCAGTTCCCGACCTTCATGTGCCCCTGCCATGGTAAGAGTTGGCCATCATGGTGTTGAAGCAGCAGAATGGGAGTTCACCGTCCAAGAAATGGCGACAAACATGGAGTCTAAGCACGAAACGGTAGAAACTAGGAATTCATCGGTGAAACCAATGAATCATTTCGGAACAATGGAGATGTAACATGATGTAACCATCAATTGGAAAGGTGCAGTTGAACCAAATTCTGTGAATCTTGGCGGACCTCTGGGATGGTAAGTTGGTGACTGTTGGTGACAACGCCAGGGTGGGCGTCAATGTGCTGAACAACGCACTTTGGAGCGTGTATGCCCTTCTGATTGAGGTCGGAAAAGAAGGAAGTACACCGAAGTACCAACAGCAATGCCATAGCATCCATGTAAGACTGCATGGCAACATGTATGTTATATTATACTATATATAATATATATATATATTATTTATATATGTTTTAAACATCATGGTTCTCAGTTGTCATTGCTAGATTCTAGATCCATGCCAGGACATGGTGGTGTTGATCCCTAGTCTCATGGGATATGCTTGCTCCTTCTTTCAGGCGCGGTCCATGATCATTGGGAGCAGGTCAGTACTTGGTGTTTGCTGAGATTGCAGACCTCTAGGATCCCCTATAGGGCTTGTTGGACCCATCAAATCTGATTTGGGTTTGTCTGAAAATAGGGACCCCATAAAATCCACTGTGGCTTCTCATTGTTTTCCCCATTCAAATGGCCATATTTTTTTTGGGGGTATACTAACCATTTTCAGGTCCCAACCCATCTGGGCGTTGTCGACGAAGTCTGCTGTTACCAGGCTCTGCTCATTCTGTGGCTCCGATCTCAACGTTGAGTTCTCCATTTTCATCGGATGGGTTTTCTTGGGGAAATTCAGAAATTCACCGGAAAACCCAATTTGTTGGGGAAAACCCAATGGTTTTCATGCTGCATCGAGGTGTCGGAGTTATCTGCCGTTGGGGGTCTCGGCGCGGTCTTTTTCATGTGCCAATCATAAACCTCCAGTGGGGCAGTGGGGATGGTTTATGATGGTTTACCACATTTTTTTCCCCTCAAAAATCATCAGGCCCGTGACAGGACACTTTGTTTTTTTTTTTCAGGGTTTTTGATGAGCCGCACTTGGCTAAGATTTGATCTTGCATTCCTGGTGACGTTCTTCCAGCAGAGGAAGAAGTGCGGGTCTCAGAAGCTGTCAATAGAAGTAAGGCATTTGGCATTTGGCACTTGTGATGATGTAAATTGTGAAGTGATTCATCACAAGATGCTCAGAGTGTAACAAATTCATTTCATTTAGTCATTTAGCATATGGCATAGTCATTTCACTGCCGCGTCTAGGATAACTCATGCATCCTAGGTCCTAGGCGAAGAAAATAGATGGAACAGACTCAATTGCAAAAACCCGTGGATTAACATGCGTGTATGTGATGATATGGTATGGTATGGCATGGTATGGCATGGTATATTATGTTATGTTACACATACGCAGATACACCAGTTTTCGCATTCTTCCAATCGTGCTATTCTTCGGTTGTGATGTAAGACCTGATGACATCAGCCCGGTCGCACCGAAGCTTGAAGAGGCGCAGCGTGAGAAAAATGGGTGATCTCACCACCAGAGCATGGGCATATGGTGGATTTAACCATGAAACATGGGGATTTATGTAGGAACATCCTTGAATCCAAGCAATTTTGGTGACACCTGGGATTTCATAGTTTTTGACCCGACCAAATGGACATATCATCCACAAATGATGGTGATGAAAACCATGAATGTCATGAAGGTATAGCCTCTTCAGCTATAAAAAACATGGGGATATTTGTCTCCAGAGGGTGTTGAAAACCGTGAAACACGATGGGGATATAAACACCACCAAACACGGAAGGCATTTTTGCAACAAAAATGGGGGGTTCAACCAGAAACGCTGCTGATGTTTTTAAGGTTTTAACTGTGAGTGGTTTAAGGGGGACTAGGGACCCAGCCAAGAACTGGGAATCCTGGCAGTGGGTCAGTAAGTTTGTGGAATGACAGAGGGTTTGGGCACTGTTAAAAATGGGCAACAAACATATTTTGCAGGATATTCAACCACCAAGGAAATCGGGAATACAAATCAATTGGATATATGATATATCTATCTTTTGGTGTACCAGTACAAACGGTTCAAAAACTGGAGATTTCTCGCAGTGGATGTACCACCCTACTAGCCCCCCCTGGCTATATTTCGTCATTGCAGGACGGCGAAGATGCTTGGCTTTGACGTCACTTTTGCGGAAAATCGCAGCCATCCACGGTGATTTTGTGATGCGATGAAACATCTGTGGGCAGCTAGTAGCTGATCAATTTGTGCCGCAGCCGGATCAAGTCATTCGGCAAATGAGCAAAGCATTTCGAAGCAAACTGGTTGAGAATGAGAAGTACGCAGGGGGTCAAGAACAATTGGTCTGAGCACGGAGGAATATTTTTTTTTTGGGTCGAGCCAAATCACTGGAAAACAGGCAGTGATGGAAGGGACGGCTTTTCAACCCTTCTAGGGGTCCAAGAAAAAGATAGAACAACATTTTTTGGCCATGACATTTCCGTAAGATATTTTTCAACAACATTTCCAGCTTTCCAAGCCAACATATTCATTTTGGGCTGCCTGACGCGGCATCATGGCTTTCTCCAGGGTCCAGGCCCGAGTGATGGTGTGTTATCATCCGACCCCCCCATATCAAATACCCCCATTGGAAAATGATTTCAATACCCCCCATGGGAAACATTGGTTTATTGGATCGATGAACGTGGAGGCCCACAGTGGCGGTATTTTAGGGGGCGGGGATTGCTAGGCACCGAGGGGTGCCCACTCCTTGATTGGGCAACGCCAGACTGGCAGCGCCTGGAACCAAGGTGGCATCCTGTCGGGCCCATTTCTTTCGCAGCTCGGATGCAGCAAATAAAGGGCTGGAGAACAGTTGAGTTCTGCAGCTGGGTTATTCCCCTGGTACAGAAACCTGATTTGGTATGGAATCTGATTGAATCTAATTATGCATTTAGGCGTCCTATTCATGGAGGCTCAAGACTCAAGATAGAGCAGCTAAGGTTGGAAACTGATACATTTGAGTCCACTAACAAGGCGGCATATTCGCCACTTGGATGCATGGCGGGACATGTCTGGGCAGTCAGTTGTGTGTTGCGTTGTTTTGAGAGTTACAGAGTGGTGAGAGCAGAGGCACTGGATTTTTTCCGGATGATCATGACTTCATCAATCCAGAGGCGAGTTCTCAGGGATGATTGGGCCGGGCTGGTAGTGTTTTTCACCGCCCTAAGCCATTGATAAAGGAGCGTTTGTATGAAGAGCTCACGCTCTTTGCAGGACCCACTTCTTTCCGAACCACTGAATGCGTTGGGACCTCAAGGTATTGAAGGTCAGCCTGACAATGTGATAGTAAAAAAGACAGTGAATCCTCAGGAGATGGAGAAATATGGATGATCCGACTCTGCAAAACAGAGTCCTGGAGCTGGGGTGGCTCAGAAGGGGCCTAAAGAACCATAGTCACCGCAGGCCCTGCCGCAGGCCTGTTGACTTTCTCTTTCGGGCAGGTTGGACGTAGGCTTGTTCCTAATCTGCTGATGGCTTCAAGCCTGCAAGTCTTTACCACTCATCTCACTGTCATAACCATGCTTCAAAAGAAACTGTGGTTACCCTTGAGATCCCTTGAGTATATCATCAATCCAACAAAAGTGGGAAATCCCGCAAACTATCAATAGGACTACTAATCCTAGCAGTAAATCCAAACACATCAATAGGACAACCATCTACTGGGGGGTTTCCAGCTGCCGGAACACCCATCCCTTTGTCCCAAGGCGCAGCAATGTTGGGATGGGCATGTTGGTGATCAACCGCGCCCCGCTCTCGGGCTCTCGGGCTCTTGGCCGGAGATGGTGAAGCAGGATTCTACCAACAGATGTGGAGATTTCACGAATTTCGGGGTTAAACTGGGTTAGTTACCATGTTAGTTTTATATAATCCATGTTAAACTGTTACACCAACTATCAACGGGTCAAAATCACCAAGGCGAGCCTCGACCTTCCCTGCGTCAATGAGCTGTACAAGCCTGGAAGTCTCAGGATGATCCATCATCCCGCATTGAAAGTTATGCTCTGTCGCTATTAGTTGGTCAAAATCAAACATCCTCTTGGGCAAACAACCACCCTGATACAGTCTGTCCTGTCCATTTTTTTGGTATTCAGTGGTGTATCATGTCTTTCATGCCCACAAAGCCCCCCTAGTTGTGACTTGGTTTCTTGGCCCATCAAATTATAGTTACAATAATCAAATATAATCACCATTTAGCCTAGTTAACCTATCACCATACACCCTGGTTCACCTAGTTACGAAGCACCTTGGCGAACGAACTGGGACACCCTGCAGCTGTCCGAGGCGCTTGCGCAACTTGGAGGTGAACAGCCTCAAGAGATTCGTTGGACTGGCAGCAATGGAGCCGGGGTACTCAGTGCTGATCCTGAAGATCTGTCTTAACCCTCTCTCTGTATGACTGGACCAATGGAGGTTTCCTAAAAGGGGGGTACCAAAAAAATCTAAATTATTCATTTTGATAGGATTTTCCACTATAAAGCATCCATTTTGGGCATCCCCCATTCTAGGAAACCCTCATACATATATATATATATATAAAATACATAAGTGTACATATAGTTATAAATAGACAATTTTTCCAGCAGGTATGATGTTCTCCAAAAATACGAATGTAGCAACGGGACACCGAAGTTCAATTGGTGTCTTTGGGGAGCAGCCACATGGTGCATCTCCGCAGTTATCCGTGGAATCTTCTCAGCTTCTTTGATATTGTCTTGCTGTAAGTGAACAAAGTCCATTTTGAACAATACCCCAACATCAAGGATATTTATCCTGTGCTGTCTTAGGATTGTTCTTTTGGAGTCTTTTTAAAGCTAACTCCTGGTGCCAGTTCATGTTGGCTCCAATCCATCGAGGCCAGGGCCTTTTTCAATCGGTCCGGAAGCCCTGGCACGGTCTCTGTATCCTGGTGAAAACGGTGAAACCATGGAGTTCGAGTTAGAAAATTGGACATATAACCCAAGTTATTCGGGTACAAAGGGGTCATATACTGTAGCTACTATATATACCAACCTTTGGGAGTTGTTACATGTTATTACCATGGTTATCTTGTCTCCATCAATGACCTTTGACCTGCGCTCCAATGTCGCCCCATCTTGATCCGTTCCAGGCCTGGATCCCAAAGAACTGCTGCTGGCCGCTGTCTACGCCCAGAAGCGTGGGAAGTTGTCGCGTTTTTCCAAGGCCTTGCTGTGGAATAGCCAGGCCGGGCCCGTGAATGTGGCTCACTTCAAAATGCTGAGGAGTGGAGGTTGAATATCTCATGTCTACCAGGTCTACCAGGTCCACCAGGTCCACCAGGTCCACCAGGTCCACCAGGTCTACCATGAACATCATGAACCTGGCAATGGAACTTTTACATCTTGAGGGGACATGTACAGAAAAACATCCAGTGAGGTTTGTGAGTCTTGGACCGACAGGAGCTGGCATACCTGGTGGCGGACTACCGAAAGTTGCTGACTAAGCAAACATGTTCGATCATGTTTGCATCTTTGTGTCACGTTCTGATTACGCCGTGAAATTCCTGGGTGCGGATGGGTCAAGTTTTTCAGACCAAAGCCATTGATTCGATCAATTTTGTCGAGCAAAAAGACCGAAGTCCTCATGCTTTCTGGTTGAGTCCCCAATTTTCCCAGTGACATCCCCATGTTTTTCCCGGTTTTCACCACCCACATTTTTCCAAGGCCACTGGTATGTCATCTCGGAGGTGTTGCCCAAGATGCTGGCGCAGTGGGCTTCCCCGGAGATTTTGCGTGGTAATTTTCAACATTTTTTAAGCATAGAAATGGGATGAGGGTTGAAACCACCAACCAGATGAACTCTTGAGGATTGCTATATCTATATCTATATCTATATCTCTATCTCTATCTCTATCTCTATCTCTATCTATCTATCTATCTATATATATATAATTATATATATATTACGAAAGCCAGCCGGGAAGCTGGCTAGTTGTTATTTGCGAACGAAGTGAGAATAGGGGGGGGCTAGCTGTCTCAAGGGGCCGAAAACGGCGTAAATAGGTTGTGTTTTAGGGTCGCGCAAAGTATGGTTTTGCAGGGTAATGTACCAGGCGGCAAAACAATGACGGTGGGTATCGATCCTCCCTAGGTCCGGTTTTCTGGGCTCAGTTAGTGGACAGATAGATGGGCCAGCTAGTGAGAGGAGATTGGAGAGAGAAGGACATTGGGATGAAAGTTGACATCCGGTTTTCTGGGAATGGACAGATAGATGGGCCAGCTAGTTAGAGGAGATTGGAGAGAGAAGGACATTCGTCTAGGAAAGAGAGAGAGGACATTGGCCTGAAAGTTGACAGAAAGAGAGAAAAGAGAGAGAGAGAGAGGAATACAAGAAGAGTTTCTGGATGAAGAGTCTCTGGATGAAAAGTATATGGGTGAAAAGTATATGGGTGAAAAGTATGTGCAAGAAGAGTTTCTGGGTGAAAAGTCTATGCAAGAAGAGTTTCTGGGTGAAGAGTCTCTGGGTGAAAAGTATATGGGTGAAAAGTATGTGCAAGAAGAGTTTCTGGGTGAAAAGTCTCTGAGCGAAAAGTCTGTGCGAGAAGAGTTTCTGGGTGAAGAGTCTCTGGGTGAAAAGTATATGGGTGAAAAGTATGTGCAAGAAGAGTTTCTGGGTGAAGAGTCTCTGGGTGAAAAGTATATGGGTGAAAAGTATGTGCAAGAAAGTTTCTGGGTGAAGAGTCTCTGGGTGAAAAGCGTATTGGCGAAAAGTATGTGCAAGAAGAGATTCTGGGTGAAGAGTCTCTGAGTGAAAAGTCTATGCGAGAAGAGTTTCTGGGTGAAGAGTCTCTGGGTGAAAAGTATATGGGTGAAAAGTA